CCATTTTCTTCAGAAGATACCCATTTGATGTTCCATTAAAGCCAAAGTACACATTAGCTATGCCATGAAACAGTTCATGAGAAAAACTTTGAACAAGGATGCATACCTGAAGTGAGCTCAATTAATATTATCATTTATTTTTTTCTTACATGCTTGAATTGACCAATGGAGCCAACACCTCAGCTCCATCTGCATAAAAAAAAAAATCATTCCATGATTTAATCATTCTAAAGATATGCATTTGATTCCAAAAATCTTCCAGGCTCTATTGTAGACAAGGGGGATAAAATTGTGATAAAAAGAGAAGGATTATAAGTACTCTATTCTAATACATATTCAGTATCTACTGTTTTTCCAGGTACTTGTGCATAGTCGTGTAAATATTCATCTCTTGATGTTTATAGTCTCTCAGAGAAGGTGTCACAGTCAAAGACACTTTGTACATAAGCTTGAAAAAGATGCTTTTGTGCTTCCTAATGTCATAGTGAGATTTGATGCTAAGCTATACATCCTCCATCCTTCCAGGTACTGGCCAGGCCTCTCATCAGATCTTCAGTTATATTTTCAATTGTTGTGTTTTCCCTCTTGCAATTTAACTAAGGATGCACTCAGAGTTCTGTGGGCCCTTTCCATTCACCTAGCACCTCCTTCTCCCAATGTTATGAAACATGGACTTTTAATAGGTACATGTTTTCTCACTTACAGTTCATAGGCAGCAACACCATTTTTTGCTACTAACATCTTACATCTTCTTCCTGAAAAAGCCCAGCCCTCACTTTTTATTTGTTTTAGGGGATTCTGGCCTCACGATGAGAACCATATAGGGTCCTTCTCCAATTTTAGAGACTGCCAAAAGACATTTTTGGCCAAATTTTGTTTGTTTTGTTTTGTTTTTTAGAGAGGGAGTCTTGCTCTGCCACCCAGGCTAGAGTGCAGTGGCACAATCATAGCTCACTGTAACCTCAAACTCCTGGGTTCAAGTGATCCTCCTTCATCAGCCTCCTCAGTAGCTGGGACTACAGGCACATGCCAACACACCTGGCTAATTTTTGTGTATGTTTTAATGTCAGTCCAGACAGACCTATTATAATACATAACTGATGCTCATGGCTAGAGACAAAGTTAGAGTCAACCCAATACCTAAGGGTGTGTCTAAGGAATGCATTTACTGTAGGACAGCATGATGATACATGGAGCAAAGGAGAAGGTAAGATAGAGAAAGGACATTTGAAGGGTCAGTGACCATACCAGGTGTTTTGGGAGAACAGTGACACTTAAGGTTTAAAAGCCAGTTTGATGGTATCACTTCATGTCTCAGTCCTGCCACTTGAGATAACATCCCAAGTGAGGGTAATGTGCCCACAGTTAGTTTCAGTTTGTTTGTATGTAACATGTGAACAAGGAATATATCATTAGGATCTTATGAAAGATGAAAAGATAAATGCATGTGAGAAATAACTAAAATTAATGATAATATTAAGTGAGCTCACTGCAGGTATGCATCTCTGTTCAAAATTGTTCTTGTGAACTGTGTCATGGCATAGCTAATGTGTGTCATGGCCTTGATGGGCCATCAGATGGGTATTTTCCAAAGAAAATGGTAAAGCATACACTGAACCTACAATTTTATTGGCAGAAATGAAAGTGGAGCAGGGACAATCCTTACCTAGAGAAGTGCTCCATGTTACTGCCAGTGGTATGGAGATCTGATGGGACTCCAAATTATCTTCCTCAAAGCATCTGTTAAAGAAAAAGGAATAGTCAATGATACTTGTTAAAGCACATCAAGATTGTCTTTATTCAGAACTCTCATGTTAGGTATAGGAATCACAACAATGGAGCTTTGCAGTGGGGGAGAGAGATTGGGCTCAATTCATAATACAGCATGGGCAAGTGGGAATTTACAGCCAAGGAACAGGGTTGGGAGGTCAGTGGGTGGAAAATTACTAAAAAGTAACATTAGGAAGGAGGCTTGGGGGTTTGGCTAACCTGATCTAACAGGATCCCTGCTGAAGACAGTCCAGGGTGACGGGACATTATCTGGGAATGCTGGAGGATGAGGGGCCTGATCAAATATTGCGGGTGTGGGAGGGTCCTTGCTAAACTAACTTACCTGAGCTCTTGCTAAAAGTTTATTTTACAAGGGCATGCAGAGATGGAATTAGGAGAAGGTTCAGAAGAGTGATTCATGATTAGTTAAGCAGATAATTTTTGTCACCTATAGAATTGAAGAAAGAGATAAGTAAGGCTATGCACATAGCAGCCAGAAACAGAAACCAGATGGATGCTGGGTCTGTAAGGACATTCTTTTTTTTTTTTTTTTTTTTTGAGACAGAGTCTCGCTTGTTGCCCCGGCTATAGTGAGTGCCGTGGAGTCAGCCTAGCTCACAGCAACCTCAAACTCCTGGGCTCAAGTAATCCTTCTGCCTCAGCCTCCCGAGTAGCTGGGACTACAGGCATGTGCCACCATGCTCGGCTAATTTTTATATATTTATATTAGTTGGCCAATTAATTTCTTTCTATATTTTTAGTAGAGATGGGGTCTCGCTCTTGCTCAGGCTGGTTTCGAACTCCTGACCTCGAGCAATCTGCCCGCCTTGGCCTCCCAGAGTGCTAGGATTACAGGCGTGAGCCACCGCGCCCGGCCTGTAAAGACATTCTTGATCTTTGAAGAAGTGTCCTAGTCTGTTCACACTATTATTTGACATGCATATGAAAAATAAGCTTGTTGCATATATATGCAACTATAGTAAGTGTGTTTTATACTCTGATACTTAATATAACCATGTAATACCTAGGCAATAGTCTAATAAAACAATCCACAAAACAGGCCTTAAATTATTTCCTCAACAATTCTTTCTTCTCATCAGCCTCTGCTTTCTCCTCTGGCTTGCTTGTCCCACTTTGGTTTTAGGTGGGGGACTGACACGATGTTGCAGAGATGTGGGAAAGCCTAAGCTATGAAAAACAATGAGTAGCGATATATTAATAGCTAAAAAAACATAATGGTTAAATTATTCTAACAAATTTATAAATGAAGTGATCAATATTTTACAAATATAAAGATATTTCTGGCTCTATCTAGAAAAATGAGTCAAAGATAATCATGCCATCTTATGAGGTAAAGAGAGTCAAAAACAATTTGGTAGTGTCTAGCAAGATTTTAAATGAACACCTTTACTGTATGAACCTTCACTACAAAATTTGAACTTTGTCTTAGCTATATGCCTAGGAATGATTATTTCAACATTGTTTCTTGTACCCCAAATAAAATTATTAAAATATTAAAATTATTATTATATCAAAATAATAGTATATGAAAAGTAACTGTGGCCCATCCACATAAAATACTATGGAATTTTTTTTTTTTTGAGACAGAGTCTCACTCCGTTGGGGCTAGAGTGCCATGGTGTCAGCCTAGCTCACAGCAACCTCAAACTCCTGGGATCAAGCGATCCTACTGTCTCAGCCTCCCAAGCAGCTGGGACTACAGGCACGCACCACTATGCCCGGCTAATTTTTTTCTATATATTTTTAGTTGGCAAATTAATTTCTTTCTATTTTTTTTAGTAGAGATGGGGTCTTGCTCTTGCTCTGGCTGGTTTTGAACTCCTGACCTCGAGCAATCCGCCTGCCTTGGTCTCCCAGAGAGCTGGATTACAGGCGTGAGCGACCACGCCCAGCCTATGGAAACTTTTAAGGAAACAAAATTTAAAAGAATCCAAAAGCTCTCCACAACAAATGATCAGGGGTTTCAGAATATCATGATGGTGTATATACCAGCGCAGTGATGAGAAATGTGGTCTGTGAACAGGAAGGATGGGCTTAGTGTCATTACCTCAGCACTTTATGCCTTCCTGAATTTGCATCCAACCTCTCCTTTCCTCTCTGTGCACTTATACTATACAATGTATGACTTTACAATGCGTATTATGTAAACTATGAAATATATTTCTAGTAAGTACCAGGGATATACTATATTCTTGATAAATACTGGCAGGAACTAATATTAGTGATCTGAAATGATAGGTCCTAATACGTTGCCATTGATAGTTGTTACTGTACAAAATGCAATTACAGGTGTGTGGAGGACATGAAGATAGAGTTGGAGGTGTGGAGGTCAATTGTGTTTGTTGGTGTGGGAGGGGCCATGAAACCTGCGCCCTCTCAGTCCAGGCTAAACAGGTGTGCCCAGGATTAGCACCTGGGGAGCCTTGTCCTCCCTGGCAGCCATGTGACCTTTCTACAGCACTCTAGAGCCAGCTCCCTACTCTGGTCAAAGTGCTTTTCCTGTGTGCTGAGGTACAAGACAAAACATGCTGATGGAACACAGCTTGGCAGAGGCAGACTGACAGCGGGTCATCCCAGGACTACTCCTAACCTCTATGCTTAGTTGGCAGGAGCTGCAAAGCCTCTGGTTTCCAATTTCCCTAGCTTACTTCTGGATTGTCCAGAAATTGAAATTTCACAGTACAGATAGTTTGCAATTTAAGATGGTTCAACTTATAATTTTTTGACTTTACAATGGTGTGAAAGTGAAACACATTCAGTGGAAACTGTATTTCAAGTACTCATCCAACCATTCTGTTTTTCACTTTCAGTATTAATAAATTATATGAGATATCTAACACTTTGTTATAAAAGGGGTTTTGTGTTAGATTGATTTCACCAAACTGTAGGTTAATGTAAATGTTCTGAGCACATAAAGGTAAGCTAGGCTAAACTCCGATGTTTGGTAAGTTAGGTATATTAAATGCATTTTCAACTTAAGATAGTTTAACTGGCATGACCCTATCATAAATCAAGGAGTATCTGTAGTATGAAAAGGGAAGCAATCATGTATTCTTAATGTATCTGCAATAGTCACTGTAGTCATTGTTTAAAAAATTACAAATCGTCCGGCCTCACCGTCATGGTTAGAGCGTTGCCTTGTTCGCCCCTCAGGCTGACCTCTCCTCCCCACCCCCCAGCGCCCCCCCATGGTGGTCAGCTGGGCCACCATGGTTCTAGGCAAGGAGAGCCAGCTCCTGCTTCAGGCGCCCGAGAGCACAGAGCTGGAGGAGCTCAGGGTGCAGGTGGCCCATGTGCACCACTACAACTGGCGGCTCAAAGTGCAGCACCTCTGCTCAGAAATGGAAGAATTACCAGGACATGGCGTATTTCTCCCTCCTAACATGCAAGGACTGACTGATGACCAGATTGAAGAATTGAAGTTGAGGGATGAATGGGGTGAAAAATGTATGCCCAGTTGGGGTTTAGTGTTTAAAAAGGATGACGTTGGATGAAGGAATAGGCAAGCTCCAAATGAAAAAATGAAACAAGTTTTAAAGAAGACTATAGAAGAAGCCAAAGCAATAATATCTAAGAAACAAGTGGAAGCCAGAGTCTGTATCACTATGGAGATGGTGAAAGACGCCTTGGATCAGCTTCGATGGGCAGTGATGATTGTTTATCCCATGGGGTTGCCATCCTATGATCCCATCCGGATGGAGTTTGAAAATAAGATTTGTCAGGAACTCAGGCAGGACTCAACGTGATTAAAGATTCAGCAAAGGGGACAGGGAGCTCTAGCCCGAGAACCTATAATTAGCAGCGAGGAGCAGAAGCAGCTGATGCTGTATTATCACAGGAGACAAGAGGAACTCAAGAGATTGGAAGAAAATGATGATGACACCTGTTTAAATTCTCCATGGGCAGATAACACTGCTTTGAAAAGACATTTTCATGGGGTAAAAGACAAAAAGTGGAGACCAAGATGAAGTTCACCAGTTGATGAAGCTTTCAAAAACATTAGCTCACCTTTCTTTTAGGCAAACGAATTATAATAATAAAAAGACACCCCACCATCCTGTATAAAAGATGTTGAGATTTCTAGTTCTCTTACTCTTCTTTTAGCTTGAATTTTCACAATAGTTATTCAAGGTTTTAGAACCTAAATACATCCTCAAAAGAAAAAAAAAATTACAAATCATTAAGAGAACATGCTCACTAAAATATTACAAGTAGGACAACCATACAAACTTTAGACAATAATTTTTCTTCCCTTTTGCCCAAATGTTATGTAAGATATTTACCTTCAAAAATAAATTTTAGGCCGGGCGCGGTGGCTCACGCCTGTAATCCTAGCTCTTGGGAGGCCGAGGCGGGTGGATTGCTCAAGGTCAGGAGTTCAAAACCAGCCTGAACAAGAGCGAGACCCCATCTCTACTATAAATAGAAAGAAATTAATTGGCCAACTGATATATATATATAAAAAAAAAATTAGCCGGGCATGGTGGCGCATGCCTGTAGTCCCAGCTACTCGGGAGGCTGAGGCAGGAGGATCGCTTGAGCCCAGGAGATTGAGGTTGCTGTGAGCTAGGCTGACACCACGGCACTCACTCTAGCCTGGGCAACAAAGCGAGACTCTGTCTCAAAAAAAAAAAAAAAAAAACAACTTTTAGTTAAAAATACAAATCTAGCATGGAAAAACCAAAAGTTAGTGATTATGAGCCTAGAAACAACAAACAAACAAACGAATCAACTTCTGTATTTAATAATCATTTGCACCTGGGTGTGGTGGCTCACGCCTGTAATCCTAGACTCTGGGAGGCCGAGGTGGGTGGATTGCTCGAGGTCAGGAGTTTGAAACCAGCCTGAGCAAGAGCAAGACCCCATCTCTACTGTAAATAGAAAGAAATTGATTGACCAACTTATATAGAAAAATTAGCTGGGCATGGTGGCACATGCTTGTAGTCCCAGGTACTCTAGAGGCTGAGGCAGCAGGATTGCTTGAGCCGGGAGTTTGAGGTTGCTGCGAGCTAGGCTGACACCACAGCACTCTAGCCTGGGTAACAAAGCGAGACTGTCTCAAAAAAAAAAAAAAAAGTATTACTAATAAAAATAGGTTAAAACAGAAATAAAAGACAGAAATACTAAGATAAAAGAGAATCTTGGGTTGAATGTGATTTTATTTTTTCGTGTAAATATGAATTTGTGAGCACAAATTAAAATTTTTTGTGTTTTTTTTTGTTTTTTGCTAAAATTACAAACATGTGACAGGCTGCCATTGAGGTTTTATTTTCAGGAAAGACAAAGTAAGTATACTTTTCCCTGTCGTAACCACTAAACATAGCTACAAAACTTGGGTAAAATGCATAGAACAGCTATTTGAAGACTCAGAGTAAGTACTAACAGGGGAATCAAGGAAGAACACTGAATTGTAAAGTTCTACTGAAAAGGTAATGGGTTTTCTTTTCTTTTCTTTTTTTTTTTTTTTTCTACTTCTTATTTAACTCCTGGCCTGAACTTAAGATATCTAACAACCCAGAACTGAGAACTACAGTGCAGACTGAGGGTTCTAGAAGCTCTATTTCTGGTCTGAGGATTGAAAAGGGAACTTGGAGTGTAGAGTTCCCCTTTCCACTGACACCTGTTTTTCCTTTTCTCCAATCTCCTCTACTCCAACCCTCCAGGCCATCTAGTTGTCCTGGCCATGGTGGCAGCTAAGGTAGCTTACAAGAGAAAAACTAAAACAAACAACAGAAAAAAGCTAAAGGTGGGAAAACCTTACTCTGCTAGGAGGAGTTACTTGTAGATCCAAGACAGTGAGTCCAACCTTCATTATTTTTCATTTTTTTCTTTTTGTCCTCTGACAAGTCCAGACATAAAAAAAAAATCATAGCCAGAGGACTAAAAAGGAATCCAAAGGGAAACAGAAATTACTGGGAAATTGTGGAAAGAGAGGCACTTGGGAAAGGGACCCCTTGGAATTGGTGAAGAACTCACTGCCTAACCCAAATGAACAAGTGTAGAACCCATCCTAATTAGCATACAAAGACTTAACTGCCCAGGCCTCAGACTGAACACTGGGTGGTATGAAGGGCAGAGATTAAATAATTTTAACTTTATGGTCCACACTGTCTCTATTGCACCTATTAAACTTTGCCATAACATTAAGGCAGCCACAGACGATGCATAAATGAATAGTGTAGCTGTGTTCCAACAACAAATTTAAAAAAAAAATGTATAGGGCAAGATTTGGCCTTCAGACCATAAGGAAACAGAAAAATATAAGATGGTGTTCATCCTAGCATAAGGGTGAAGAACATGATCTCTGTAGACAGAAGAGTGGTTTTGTTTTGTGTTCGTACTTCACTGCTAATTGCTGCTTTGAAATTGTAAATGAATTTTACCTTTGTTTTCTCATCTAAATAATCATTAATTTCATAGAACATACTGCACATGTATTTTCTGAGTTTTAATTAAATGCATAATTTCAGAACAATAAGTGGCACAAATAATCACTGAAAAAGTACTAGCTGAAATTAATATTATCCTTATATATGCTGTATAATATATTTAAACACACTGACAAAGATTCTTTGCTCAATCAATTTTTAGTTAGGCTCCTGAATCTTCCCCTAAACCCATTGTGTACTTCCTTGAAAATCCAGTTTTATTTATTATTTATTTATTTATTTATTTATTATTTTTCTCTGCCTCATGTAATCTGCAGGAAATAAAATCCAGTTTTAGTAAGAACCCTGCTAAATCAAGGGCCAGGTGTGATGGATCACATCTGTAATCCCAGAACTTTGTGAGGTCGAGATGGGAGGATCTGTTGAGCCCAGGAATTCAAGACCAGCCTGGGCAACATGGCGAAACCTCATCTCTACCAAAGGAAAAAAAAAATACTGCCGAGCATAATGGTGTAAACCCATATTCCCAGCTACTCTAGAGTCTGAGGTGGGAGAATTGCTTGAGCCCAGGAGTTTGAGGCTGCAGTGAGTGCTGATGACAACACTGCACTCCAGCCTGGGTAACACAGTGAGACCCTTTCTCTAAAAAAAAAAAAATATATATATATATATATAAAGGGCCAGGCGTGGTGGCTCACGCCTGTAATTCTAGTACTCTGGGAGACCGAGGCAGGAGGATAGAGCAAGGTCAGGAGTTCAAAACCAGCCTGAGCAAGAGCAAGACCCCATATCTCTACCGTAAATGGAAAGAAATTCATTGGACAACTAATATATATAGAAAAAAAATTAGCTGGGCATGGTGGCACATGCCTGTAGTCCCAGCTACTTGGGAGGCTGAGGCAGTAGGATCACTTGAGACCAGGAGTTTGAGGTTGCTATGAGCTAGGCTGACACCACGGCACTCACCGTAGCCTGGGCAACAAAGTGAGACTCTGTCTCAAAAAAAAAAATAAAAAAATGTATATACATACATACACACACACAAAGAAGAGGACACTGCTAAGTCAGCTTAGCAAGAGCTTCCCCACCCTCAATACCTGATTAGGTTCATCCTCCACCATCCCTTATCCTTAGTAATATCTTATCACTTATCACCTTAGCCTTCACTAGCAAGAATCTTCAGTAATAATCCTAGATTGGTTTAGCCAGAATCCTTCTTTGTCTTCAGGAGGAATCCTATTAGCTAAAATGCCCCTACTTCTGATGTTTCCTCTTAGTAATTTTCCACCTATCAGCTAAGCTCTGCTCTTTGACTAATAAATTCCCACTTGCCCTTGCTGCATTTGCAGTTGAGCTCAATCTCTCTGACAGCAATTGTTGTGGTTCCTATACCTATCCTCATGATCCTGAATAAAGTCTTCCTTACCATATTTTAACAAGTGATCACTGAATAACTTTTTATTTAACAAAATACAAAGTAAATATATAATGATACATATTAATAAATTTTATAAACATATGTAAGAAAAGGAGAACATCAAAGCCTTAATGTTGATAGTACATTGTAATTTTCAATTGCTGGAATCTGGGGTAGAAGGTGAATGTTCCATTACATTTTTTTTCTATTTTCTTTTTTTTGGTTACCATCAGCATGTATTCTTCTTATAAAAATATTAGGATAGTCAATATTACTAAAAGGTATACAAGTGTGAACTAAAATAAAATATTAAGGCTCTCTCCCACTGGCTGACTGAATGGACACCCTCTTGGCCAAGGGGATACCCTAAAACGGAGTTGATAGCCCGAAGAAGGGAGGTCAGTCATGCCTCATCATGCCCCCTCCCTTCTTGTAGATATCCTTTGTAACTCATTAACAGGCCTAAGGCCATACAAGACAAACCTGTAGATCCTCAATTTACATAACAAATCACTGAGCTTAGGTGTATGTCAGGTGGCTTTTCTTTAATTAACAGACCTCCTTATCTTAACTTAAAACATTCCAAGCCTTCAGGGGTCCTCAAACTTTTTAAACAGGGGTTAAACAGGCCAGTTCACTGTCCCTCAGACCATTGGAGGGTCTTTGGAGAGTGGCGCCCATTCCACCTAGGCACACTGTGGGCACTGGACGAGTTGGCTGATAAGCAGGACGGCAGCGGAGGCAAAAACACCAGGCGGGCGGGATAACTGTCCTCCGCGGGCCGCATGTGGCCTGCAGGCCTTAGTTTGAGGACGCCAGCTTTAGACAGCTTCATTTATTTCATATTTATTTCATCAATTACAAATCAAAGAGTCTTTAAACCTACCTAAAACCTGTAAGCCCTCTCACCCTTTGAAATGTCCCACCTTTTCAGGCCAAGCCAATGTATACCTTCCATGTATTGATTCATGACTTTATGCCACAGCAAGTCCACTTGCTCAAGGCTTCTTGGACATGTCTCCAGGCCTTGGTCCTCAAATTTGGCTGAGAATAAATCTCTTTATTTTACAGAGTTCCATTGACACAAGATTATAGAATAATTATTATAGTAGAAAGTGTATTCTGGGCCAGCACAGTGGCTCATGCCTGTAATCCTAGCACTCTGGGAGGCCAAGGTGGGCAGATTGCTCAATGTCAGGAGTTCGAAACCAGCCTGAGCAAGAGTGAGA